CAGGGTGCTGATGGCTCATGCCTGTCATCCTAGTTACTGAGATCTGAGGATTGTGGTTCAAAGCCAGCCTGGGCAGGAAAGTCTGTGAGACTCTTACCTCCAATAAACCACCAGAAAACCGGAAGTGGCGCTGTGGCTCAAGTGGTAGAGTGCTAGCCTTGAGCTGAAGAGCTGAGGGACAGCGCCCAGGCCCAGAGTTCAAGCCCCATGACCCACAAAACAAAAACAAAAACAGAGTGAGACCTTGTCTCAAACTAAACCAAGCCCAGTCTCAGACCTGGCTGTGTCCTGTTTGTGGCTGTTGGGACTCGTAATGATCAACTTGGCTTTGGCCAGAGAAAGGAGTTCCTCGGGTGACCGGATGCGATCACCTCGTGACTCAGACTTCGGCAGACACGCGCCATCTGCTCGCGCTGAAGCCACTTCTTCTTTCTGCGCACCCGGCCCCTGTTCAGGAAAATGAGAAGCGGGAGGTGAGCTCTTCCGTGCTCCCGACCAGGGGAGTGGCTGAGAACACACGAAATCACCTCAGCTCTCTTCCTACTGGCTCACACACACAGGTGTTACCCTCAAAATGGCAGGCCCTCGCTTCTAAAATACCTGCTGAAAGGTAAACCTGGAAGCGGGAAGAAGTGAAAAGGGAAACCGAGATGTTTGGAATGATCCAGAGCCAGACCCAGCTGCTTCCCAGCCCGCCAGGCCTCTGTCTGTCTGTCTTCTACTTGGTCAGATTTTTTTAACAATAATTACACACACACACACACACACACACACACACTTCCATTTTTAAGGTAGACACTTGGAGGAAATGGTTGAATGGGGGACTGTCATCCCGTGCTGGCCAACGCCGCTAACACGCTCGGCCGTTGCTGTATCTTGCCACTGCCCACACCTGTGCCAGCATGTTCTCCACTGAGAGACTTCTGGGGAAAGGGTGCTGGGTGATCTCACCTCATCGGAACTCGCGAGGCCTTATCAGCCTGGAAGCCTGATGACTCACCTCGAAGCCCTGCCTGCGGCTTTGAAGCACTGGAGGTGAATGAAGTGAGTGTATCATCCTGGCACAGGTGACAAAGGAGCAGATAACCACAGAAACCTGCCCTTAAAATGTCAATAAGCATACGCGCCTAGAGCAAACAGATGCCATTAGAAAATAGAAGGACACACCACAGTCAGTGGTGGGAGATTCCAGTTCACCTTTACCGGTCATTCCAGCCAAGCGTGGTTGGCCTAGGCCGGGGCCGGGTAGGGTGAGGTCAGCTCTGTGGTGTTGAAACCTGTTTGACTCTCATCCACCGGGGACGGGGGTGGGGGGGGTGGGGAGTGGGGTGTAAACCTTATGGTACCGGGCATATGAGAAGTGAGTGGTTTGGGGACTGACAAGGACATCCTCGGACTCTTCTCTGTTGTATGTGGCGTCCTGCATTCCTGCCCGTCTCTGCTGCCTCATCCTTTGCTTTGCCTTCCTCTCCCTGTCCCACTTTCAAGTTCTGTGGTAGAAGAACAAAGGAACAATCCAGTAACATTCTTACAATAATCCTAAAAGACAGAGATCTCGGGGACGGAAGGCAGATGATGTCAGAGGCTTACGTCTGTGTAGTTCATTGGAAGCGTGTGGGTTTCTCACACTTTCAGTAAGTAGCTTATCTCCTCTAGGACTTACTTTAATCCTTTTGATGAAAGGCTCTGATCTGAAGACCTCTTGGGATGGGGTGCTGATGATTAAATGAGATGGAGCTATGGACAAACAGTTAATACAGCGCACTTGTATAGCGGGTGCTTAGTAATGTGTCTCCCAGCCCCGGAGGCCTGGGAAGGGGAGCTCTTCCGGGGGTGGAGAGCTCTGCAGACCCCCAGATGTGACTGGAATGTTTCTTATCTTCCGGAAGAGAAGAGCATCAGATGCAGAGAATGTCTGGAGATGACTCAGGGGGCGGTGGGGGGAGGGGGAGGGGAGAGGGGACAATGCCCACAGGCCTTGGGCCCCAGAGCCAGAATTCCTTCCCCAAGCTCTGATCCCAGGAAGAACCTGTTTCAGCCGGTGTGGACGGCGTGGGCCTTCCCCTGGGTGGAAGCGCTCCTCTTAGGAGGTTTCCATTTTTGCTTCTGATTTCAACACGCCCATGCCTCGCATATTGTCGCCTTCTGATTCCACTGGAGTCCTGACTTCCAGAGTGTTCCTTGATGAACACTGGTGATGGCCCGAGCAGGGCTGGGAGGACAGGCGGGCCGGCCCGGCCCCAGAGATCCCCCGCTTCCCCGGAGCCCTGCCAGGCGCCTGCCGCTTCCGCGCCCCCTCGGCTGACTGACGGCCCACGGCTCTTGCAGCGTGGGAAGCGGCTTCTCAGACGGCTCCGCTTTGGAGTCTGGTGCTTTTCCACTCCCAAACTCAGAAAATAAAAATGGGATACAATGAATGTCTCAACATGATTGCTTCGGACAAAACCCCACTCCACACGAGTGTTTCTCACCAGACAGCATCGCGGGGAACAAGTGTGAATTACACACCACATAACCAGCGTTCTGCTTTGCTGGTGTGCACCCCGTGAAGAGGGGTTCAGAAGATGGCGTCTGGGACGCTGTTCCAATCTGATGTTTACACGCACTAGTTCAACATGTTTTTAAGTACTTTTTTTTTCTAATACTATTAACTTTCCAAGGGCATTCTGGGTGCAACATGGCCACCAGCTTCCCAAAAGCTGAAAAACTGGAAATGAAATGGAGTAGCAGGAAAGATGCAACTTCTACTGAAATGTCTTTTTCTCCATAATGAAGTTTTTTCTCTCCCTCCTCCTCTCCCTCTTCTCCTTCCCCACCTCCATCCATTCCTCCTCCTCTCTCTTCCTGTCTTTCTCATCATCTAATGAACCATCACAATATTGCATCGTATTTACAAACCATCTTTTTTCTAAATGGCCGTTCAAACTGCATTCATACTTCAATTAGTCTACTTTTTATTTTTGACAGTGCTTACAAATGTGTTGGGATGGGTCCTGTATTTGCTGTAGTTGTTTGGAAAGAACAATACGAAACAAAGCCCACTTCAAAACCACACTTCAGGAAGGAAAGGTACAGGGAGGGAAGAGGACCCAATGGTGTCTGTCTGTCTGTCTGTCTCTCTCTCTCTCTCTCTCTCTCACACACACACACACACGTGGCATAATGAAATCCAGGGAGGAACGGGACAGGCTGGAGTGGGTGGATTTGTTCAAGGGTTGTAGGTGTGCGTGGGCATTATCTCAATTCTCTCGTAGTACAAGTGTATGCTGATTCAAACATAAAAAGCATAGATTTCATAATCTGCTAGACAGTTTCAGCAGAATTTTTTATCCAGACTACGTGGTCTTTCCTCGCTCTGGGAGCAGAGGGAAGCGGGGAGAGCACACTGCAGGAATGTTCTAGCAGCCCTCCTGTCCCGTGAGTGCTTGCCAGGGTTTGAAGCAGACGCTGGCAGGGCAGGGCCCTCGCTGTGACCCCACGCTTTGTCTTGCGAAGCTGGGCCCCTGTGGAGGCTGGGCCCCTGTGGAGGCTGGGCCGCTGTGGAGGCTGGGCCCCTGTGCTGGGCTCCATTCTAAAAGGGCGGCTGGGGTCACAGCGGGAGCTCCCAGGTCAGGAAGTGAAGGGGGGCTGCAGCCCCTGCCCGGGGGGCGCCCTACGTCCCTGGGAACGGTGCTGGTGTTGAAGGGGGGGGGCTGCCGCCTGCGTGGTGCAGCACAGCCTGGCCCCTCGCGGGGCTGTCGGCGTCCTCCGTCAGCAGTGCCCGCGGTGCCTGGAACAGAACCAGACCCGGCCACCTGCAGACTCAGAGCCAGAGCCTCTCTGTCTGCAGCTTGCGCGGGCCTGCGCGGGGTTTGTGATTGGCAGGGTCTCTCCTTTCCATTCTCACACATCCTCCTTGGCCTGGGGAACCTGAGCCCAGGGTGAAAAGTTCACCCGTGGACACAGCCTCAGAGAGGCCCCGCTGCGTGTGTCTGACGGGCCACGGCAGCCTTCGCTGGCTGTCCACGGCGCAGCGCACGGCTCATAGCTCGGGAAGAGCAGCCCGGCAGACCAGTGACAGCGCCACGCCGGTCTCCCGGCCAGCCTCAGCCTCCTGCCGCGCAGGGCAGTGGGCACAGTGGGGCACAGGGGACATCACCGGGCCCTGGCAGACTAGCTGGCATCTGCGACACTCGGTTGCTCCGTCTTCTCTCCTGGAACTGTTTTCCAGAATGACAATTCTTTTCCTCCTGTTAATTTTTTTTAAAGGAGAACACACGAGGCCCGCAGCGTCTGTGAGCAGCGTCACCCACGCTTCCCTTCACCAAATCGCATGGCCAAGCGGCTAGCAAACAGTATCCCCAGTAAGGGTTCTATTTGCAGAGTGGAAACACATCTTGTAGATAGACCGAGGCAGGGGCGCCCTCTCTGCGGCTCCCTCCGCTTCCTCCCGTGCTCGTGCCCGCTGTGGGTCTCAGCGAGGCCGGAGGGTTGGCCGAGCTTCAGGACACTTCCCGACTGTGCTGACAGACGCGCAGAGGGCCACGACGACTCGCCACCCGCGGGTGACCAAAACAAGGCGCTGGCCGGCGCCCTGGGGCTCGCCGTCCCGCAGCGCCGTCCGTCGTGCCCCGACTTGGACCAACACCAGGACAGCCCTGCGTCATGTTTGTGTCCGTCCAGGAGTTACAGCCGTCTCCTGCGGAAAACAATGCAGAGGGAGGCCGGAGGCCAGAGGCCGCTGCCACGGGCCCTCCGGTCTCTGCGGGCTTCCGAAGAGGAAACGGGCCGTTTTCCCTCTGTCTCCTGAGCCGTGTCCCGGGAGGGGTTCTGAAGAGCTGGCGCGTAATCAGGTCTTGCTTCTCGGGGACTCAAGTGGGTCTGGCAGGGGAACCTGGAGCAGACCAGAAAGAGCTGTGGGGTTGTTTGTTTGGTTTTTTTAAGGTACGAAAGTCTCAGAGGAGGTGATGAGCGTAGGCTCCGCTCGTTCCCGCTCCCGGCGTTCGCTGGGGCTTTGCTCCTCATTGTCTCTGCTTCTGCTGGGGTTCTGCTGCGGTGCCGGCTTGGCGGGTCGGCGGCGCGTGCTGGGCGTGCACCGCACCGCGCCGTGCCGTGGGCAGGCTGGCTCGGGGTTCGGCGGCCGTGCCGGGCGTGCACCGTGCTGTGCCGTGGCGTGGGCAGGCTGGCTCGGGGTTCGGCGGCGCGTGCCGGGCGTGCACCGTGCTGTGCCGTGGCGTGGCGTGGGCAGGCTGGCTCGGGGTTCGGCGGCCGTGCCGGGCGTGCACCGTGCTGTGCTGTGGCGTGGGCAGGCTGGCTCGGGGTTCGGCGGCGCGTGCTGGGCGTGCACCGTGCTGTGGCGTGGCGTGGGCAGGCTGGCTCGGGGATCGGCGGCGCGTGCCGGGCGTGCACCGTGCTGTGCTGTGGCGTGGGCAGGCTGGCTCGGGGTTCGGCGGCGCGTGCTGGGCGTGCACCGTGCTGTGGCGTGGCGTGGGCAGGCTGGCTTGGGGATCGGCGGCGCGTGCTGGGCGTGCACCGTGCTGTGGCGTGGCGTGGGCAGGCTGGCTTGGGGATCGGCGGCGCGTGCTGGGCGTGCACCGTGCTGTGCCGTGCCGTGGCGTGGGCAGGCTGGCTCGGGGTTCGGCGGCGCGTGCCGGGCGTGCACCGCGCCGTGCTGTGCCGTGCCGTGGCGTGGGCAGGCTGGCTTGGGTTTCGGCGGCGCGTGCTGGGCGTGCACCGCACCGTGCCGTGGCATGGCGTGGGCAGGCTGGCTCGGGGTTCGGCGGCGCGTGCTGGGCGTGCACCGCACCGTGCTGTGCCGTGCCGTGGGCAGGCTGGCTCGGGGATCGGCGGCGCGTGCCGGGCGTGCACCGTGCTGTGCCGTGGCGTGGGCAGGCTGGCTCGGGGATCGACGGCGCGTGCTGGGCGTGCACCGTGCTGTGCTGTGGCGTGGGCAGGCTGGCTTGGGGATCGGCGGCGCGTGCTGGGCGTGCACCGTGCCGTGCCGTGGGCAGGCTGGCTTGGCGGATCGGCGGCGTGTGCTGGGCGTGCACCGTGCCGTGCCGTGGGCAGGCTGGCTCGGGGATCGACGGCGCGTGCTGGGCGTGCACCGTGCTGTGCTGTGGCGTGGGCAGGCTGGCTTGGCGGATCGGCGGCGTGTGCTGGGCGTGCACCGTGCTGTGCCGTGCCGTGCCGTGGGCAGGCTGGCTCGGGGTTCGGCGGCGCGTGCCGGGCGTGCACCGTGCTGTGCCGTGGCGTGGCGTGGGCAGGCTGGCTCGGGGTTCGGCTGCGCGTGCCGGGCGTGCACCGTGCTGTGCCGTGGCGTGGGCAGGCTGGCTCGGGGTTCGGCTGCGCGTGCCGGGCGTGCACCGTGCTGTGCCGTGGCGTGGGCAGGCTGGCTCGGGGTTCGGCGGCGCGTGCTGGGCGTGCACCGTGCTGTGCCGTGCCGTGGCGTGGGCAGGCTGGCTTGGCGGTTCGGCTGCGCGTGCCGGGCGTGCACCGTGCTGTGCCGTGCCGTGGCGTGGGCAGGCTGGCTTGGCGGTTCGGCTGCGCGTGCCGGGCGTGCACCGTGCTGTGCCGTGGCGTGGGCAGGCTGGCTCGGGGTTCGGCGGCGCGTGCCGGGCGTGCACCGTGCTGTGCTGTGGCGTGGGCAGGCTGGCTTGGCGGATCGGCGGCGCGTGCCGGGCGTGCACCGTGCCGTGCCGTGGGCAGGCTGGCTCGGGGTTCGGCGGCGCGTGCGGGGCGTGCACCGTGCTGTGCCGTGGCGTGGCGTGGGCAGGCGCGCCGCCCGGCCGGGTTCCTGCCCCGGCTCTCAAGGCCCTCCTCCTCCTCAGCTCTGGCGCACCTGTGACTCTCCACTATTTCATCTTTGCTTGAGTTTCGGCCACAGACCCCGAACATCTTGGGGTTTCCTGGACAACAGGTGTGTGTTTGGGTGTATTCGGCTCCTGGGTGGGCGTTCAATAGAGAAAGGGGCCCCCACTTCCCCGCCCTCTTCTGTGGGAGGGAGGAGGACATGGGGGGCAGCAGTCGCATCAGCACCCGGCCCCTGGGGGATGGAGGTCTGGCTGATTGCTGGTCTGGAGGGGGCGTGGGGAGGCTGGACACCCCCACACACACTAGCTGCTCGTCTGCACACCCTGCTATAGATGCCTTCAATAAATGACGCGCGAGAACGTTTCCAAGAGTTCCAGGAGCTGCCCTTGAAGATTATGGAGCCCAAAGAAGGGGGTTGTGGGAACCCCGCTTCTGTCTGGGCAGCCAGAGCACGAGCCACGTCCCGGGCACGCCCTTGACGTCTGAAGCAAAGCTGGGCTGGTGAGATGCACCTGTAGCCCGTGGGGCAGGAGGGCGCTGCCGGGACCATGGCCGAGCCGTGCGGTGCGGGCGGGGGGGCGCGGGCGGGGGCGCGCGGGCCGGGGGCGCGCGGGCCGGGGGGGGGGCGCGCCGGCCGGGGGGGCGCGGGCCGGGGGCGCGCGGGCCGGGGGCGGGCGCGGGCCGGGGGGGCGCGCCGGCCGGGGGCGCGCGGGCCGGGGGCGGGCGCGGGCCGGGGGGCGCGCGGGCGGGGGGCGCGCGGGCCGGGGGGGCGCGGGCCGGGGGGGCGCGGGCCGGGGGGGCGCGGGCTGGAGGGCGCGCGGGGGGGGGGGGGGCGCGCGGGCCGGGGGGGCGCGGGCCGGGGGGGGCGCGGGCTGAAGGGCGCGCGGGGGGGGGGGGGGCGCGCGGGCCGGGGGCGCGCGGGCCGGGGGCGCGCGGGCGGGGGGCGCGCGGGGCGGGGGGGCGCGCGGGGCGGGGGGCGCGGGCGGGGGGCGCGCGGGGCGGGGGGCGCGGGCGGGGGGCGCGCGGGGCGGGGGGCGCGCGGGCCGGGGGCGCGCGGGCGGGGGGCGCGCGGGGCGGGGTCGCGGGCGGGGGGCGCGCGGGGCGGGGGGCGCGGGCGGGGGACGCGCGGGCGGGGGGCGCGCGGGCCGGGGGGGCGCGGGCCGGGGGGGCGCGGGCCGGGGGGGCGCGGGCCGGGGGGGCGCGCGGGCCGGGGGGGCGCGGGCGGGGGGCGCGCGGGGCGGGGGGCGCGCGGGCGGGGGGCGCGCGGGCGGGGAGCGGGGAGTGGGTACCGCAGAGCAAAGCCCGCGGGGGACCCCGCACGCTACACGCCCAGAGTCTGAGGACGCAGCACCCAGCTCGCCAAGGCACATCCCGTCTAATAACACTTTCCTGCCGGGCTGTGCGAGTGAACTCAGAATCTTCCCGTGGGTCGGAAGCCACTGCGGTTTTCCACCCTCCGTCTGGAGCGAGGCCTGGGCTGCTCGTCCGCAGCGCTCTCCTCCGCATCTCTTCTTGGGTGCATCCCTGCCCCCCGCAGGGCACCTCACAGCCCCGCCTCGGACCAGAGCACGCACACGGCGTGGCGTGGAAGCCTTCCTCCCCCCACACGCCTGCCCGAAGGCGGCTGGAGCCCCGCAAGCTGCCCACTTCCTGTCGTCTCCTCATCACAAATCCCAGTCATGAATTCAGAACCTACAACTAAGTGTAACGTGGTAGGAGCGACATCAATACCAGTTAAACACGCATTCAAATGGCGTGCAGGTCAGTTAGTTTTCTCATATGGATGAGATTTATGGGTTCCTCTTGATAAAGACACTGACTTTAATGTTTATCCAGTGCCCCGGTAAGCTGAGCGATCCCTGCATAGGGTAGGTACTTACTAATTGCACATGCACATTAATTATCAGAAGATACCAAGGTGGCTCACTGCGCCTCCCTGTCAAACAATGGAAACTTCTGTGGTGGTGGGAAGCAGCAACTCTCAAAACCACAGCTCCCGCCGTGTGCGCACAGTCCCACCCAACTTCCCAAAAAGTTGTTCTTGTTTCCTCATTAAATGATACCCTGTCACCTCCACTGATAATATGACCATTTCTCTTGTCCTCTAGCAAAAAGAAAGGTATTTTTTTACTAGTACTTTCAGACAAATGTAGGGATATTAGGGCCTATTTTTAGCTCTGTGAACAGTGCCCCATGAAGCAGAGCTTTCCTGCATTTTCTCCTCTGACCTCATCCCGTGGTTTGTTGGCTTCCCGCTAGTCTGGCTGTGACATTCACAGTACCATACCAGATTAGCGGGAACACAGGTGTTTTCTTGGTGAGTTGCCAACTTGAGTGATGACCCATGATTGCTAGATATCCCTGGAAAAACATTACCTCATATAAGGAACAAAGTTAGAACCACTTCTCTATTTAACACATCGATTCCACAAGAGACCTTTGTTCTTCTTGAAGAATCTCAGCCAAGTGCTTCTTCCTTGTGTGTCTTAACACAGTCTGTGTGTCAAGCGGTGCTCCGCACGGCCGCACACCTCCTTCCTGGTCATGGCTTTTATCTCCTATGGGTAGCATATTAAACAAAGGATCGGATTCTTTGAGTAGAGAAGTATTCACATAGGGTTCCAAGTGAGCCCAAGGAAACCTCTCCTCCCCAAGCCATGGCACCCTGGCGGGCACCATGGCTGGTACATGCGGTATCTCATGGCCTACCCTGCGGAAGAATTAAAATGATGAATCCGTCGCTCTGAGGAGGGTGGGAAAGTGGGACTGTGTGTTTCAACTACTGCTCAGAGAGAGGTGGGAGCTGGGGGGGGGGGCGGGAAGAGGGGGGCCAGGCTGCCCCCCACCGTGGGTGGAGGATGCAGCCCCAGCGTGGTTGCTCCTTCACGGGGAAACACAAATAACAGTGTTAGACTACGCCATTTCTTGCTGAGATCGTTTATACTCTTATTTTAGCCTTTGAACAATCCTATACAGCAGGTAATATTAATCTTGTTGTTTTATCAATGGAGGGGGTAACAATGCTCAATAGGAAGTGAACTCATTACCTCACTCATGTAACTGTAACCCTCTGTATAGTATCTTTACAATAAAAAAAAATAAAAATTAAAAAAACAAAAACAAACAAAAAAAGTAGAAAGGTTCTGTAATGTGAAATAGGCCTTTGAGTAAATAATTCATCTTAGAAGAGAGAAATATCCTAGAGAAACTAGGATGTGCATGTGGAGATACAAAAAGGATATTTATTGCATGAGAAAAAATGGATATAATGTCAATTTATAAGGAAATGGATAATACATTTATATAGTATAAAGTAGTGAGACTAGTATAATGTACTAGATTTGTATCTAATCCAAATATAATGAGAAGAAAAACAAATTGAAAAGTAAAAAAAATATATTGTTGTTTTATGAATAAGAAACAGAAAACAAATAACCAGATGAGTGATTTTAGCCCAAGTCTGAAGGCCTCACAGTTTTAAGTCCCAGTTGCAGTCCAAGGGCAGATGGAGACTGATTTCCAGCTTAAGCAGCCAAAGACACCCTCCCTCCCTCCCTCCCTCCCTCCCTCCCTCCCTCCCTCCTTCCTTCCCTCCCTCTACCTCTGTGTTCCATGCAGACCCACAGGGGAGGGGGACGCTTCCTTCAGTCCATCCATTCAAACGCCAGTCTCACCCAGCAAGAACATGTAGGCAAACATCTGGACACTCTGTAGTCTAGTCAAGCTGTTACACACATTTAATCGTTAAAGGGAAATAGACATTGCAGGAAGCACCACTGCCTTTAAGACTGGCCTGGCATTGCCCTGAAGACCAGCAGCACCGCGCACCGCACCGCGCGCACCACACCACGCCCAGCTGTCTAGAGTCTATCAGCTTCCAAAGACAAGTATGGCTGGAGGCTAGCACGTCAGTTAGCCACCATCTGGAAATGTGCTTTGTGCTCTGTCCTCCAGTGTAAGTAACTGTGGCACAGGCTCCTGGCTAAATTATAGAAGGATATAAAAATAAAACACAGCACAGCAAACTACAGCCTATGAAGCATTGGTCTTCAAAGCTTAGTCTCAAAACGAATGCTTGGCTCCCACAGCCACTGCCTGGTTACACACAGATCTGCGTTGAGCAGGGTTTTCATTCACCTATTAGAAAAAGGTATCTTCTCAAACTACAGAATAACCACACAAGCGAAGGCTACCGGAAACGTCACTCGTTATCCGATCTTGCTTGGATTACAGGCCGATCTTCACTCTGCGTGACCTCCTACTCACAGTGTGTGCTTAAAGGCCGGGGATGGCTCCTTTCCCACATTTCCATACTCGGGACCCCCCCTCCCCCCCTCCGCCCCTCCTGCCCACTCCCCCTCTCTCTCCCCACTTGTGGCTGTGGTGGGAAGGCACTTGAAATCTTACTTTTCTTATCAAGGGTCCGATTTATTCAAGCAATTAAGACCTGAATTTTTGTAAAAGTCTCCTCACCCACTGGGTCTCCCAGGAACCTTCTGGCTTCATAAAAATGAGGTGTTGTTGTGTAGTTGTTGTTTTGGTGGGTTTTATTTAGTACATAATTCGTTCCGATGGGAGTATGCTACTTGTAGCTCGCTGGCCGTTTGTTCTTCAGCGTAGCTGGCGTCCGTGCATCATTGCTCTTGTCTGATGGAGTCTGCAGGGTCCTGGCTTCAGTTGCTGTTTTTGAAGAATACGTGGATGTCAAGCAGTCTTAACGTGTTGGGGCTGCATGCTCCTGAAATTAGCATGGGACCCAGGGCTGGGCTTGAGCTCATGGACCCCCTAAGACCCCAGGTCACCCCCGGAGGGGAGGGAGAGCTCCTCGTTGCCTCTGTTGGTCCATCTGTTGCCAGGCGGCCTGTCCGGCAGCTCTTGGGGCGGAAGCTGACCAAGAGCAGCCGCTAGCCATGGCGGGCTGCCTGTGCACCTTGTTCTGGAGAAACACTGCCCCGTGTGCCCAGCCTGCAGCGAGAGCGCGCGTGGGGAGAGGCTGGGGGTGAGGATTCTGTCTTGGTCCTCACACACAGGGTGGAGAGCTGAAGCTGAATGCAAGATGCAAACGCTTGCCCTCACACCCGCCC